TAAAAATAAATACATCAAAGGGGCCGGGGGGATAGCTCAATAAAATAAATAAAAATTAAAGGCATTACCACTTGGGAGGGGAAGGCAGGAAGATCACTGAGAGTTTGAGGCCAGCAAAGCCCTATCTAAAAAAATAATTATAATTAAAGGTATTATTAGATTTACTTTTCAATGACTGTTCAAGATGTCAAAGATGTATGGTACCAGGCCAGTGAGATAGCTCAGTGAACTAAGCACCTGCTTGGGCAAGTGCAGGGACTGGGGTTCCACCCTCAGTATCACATGCCGCACAGGCCCTGCCCTGGGAACACTGAGCTGGCCACCAAGTCGGGCATAGTGGTGTATGCCTGTAATCGCAGTGCTAGGGAGGCTAAAACTGGAGGATCACTATGAGTCCGAGCTACATAGTGAAACCCTGTATCAGATACATTAAAAAAAAAAAATGATGTGTGGTACTCATTTGTTCTGTGAGCTGGCCACCAAAACAGCGTGATGGTGCATGCCTATAATCACAGCACTGGGGAGGCTGAAACAGGAGGATCACTACAAGTCTGAGCTCCATAGTGAGACCCTATACCAAACACACAAAAATTTAAAAAATAAATAAAATTCTCAAGATATGTTGAGATAGTCAAAACAACAAAAATGAATAAAATTAGAGGTAGCACAGTAAAGAACTTGCCTAGCATGTGACAGACTCTCGGTTCAATTCTTAGCACCTAAAGAAACACCAAAAAATCAAAGGGAAAAAAAACAGCACTGACCCCTGAAATTCCCTGTTTAGAGCCAGCCAAATATGGACTGAAATCTCTACAAAATGTGAGCTAATATATCTTTCCTCCTTTAGCTTTGAGTGTTGGGTCTTTTGTCTCACCAATGAGAAAAGTAGCTAAGATACTCAGAAGGTGCTATTCCTTTTTTTTTTTTTTAATTTGTGTGTGTGTGTGTGTGTGTGTGTGTGGCCAGCTCAGCTCACCAGGGGGCGGGGCTGGCTGGCATGTGGTGCTGGGGGATTGAACCGCGGTCCCTGTGCTTTGCTAAGCTTGTTCTAAGTAGGTGCTTTAGACCACTGAGCCATCTCACCAGCCCCAGAAGGTGCTATTCTTAGGTATGTATCTAAAATAACTAAAAATAAGTACTCAGACAATAATTTATTTAAGAATGATCACAATCAGCCATGTGTGGTGGCATATGTACATAATTCCAGTACTCAGGAGGCTGAAACAGGAGGAGTGCCTCAAATTTGAAGCCACCCTGGGATATACAGTGAGTTTAAAGCTAGTCTGGGGTACTGGGGAGATAGCTCAGTAGAATAAGTGCTTGCCTAGCAAGCACAAGGACCTGAGTTCAATCCCTGGTTCTGCCAAAAATAAATAAATAAATAAATAAATAAATAAATAAAGCTAGTATGAATGACATGATGGGACCCTGTTTTAGAAAACAGACAGAATGGTCACAGCAGCACTATTCATAATAGCCAAAAGGTAGAAACCACTTAGATGTTTACCCACAGTGAATGGGCAAATTGCAGCATACAGAGACGATGGAATATTACTCATATATAAGAAGGAATGACAAGGTTCTGAGTTCAATCCCTGGTACCGCAAAAAGAAAAAAGAAAAAAAAGAAGAAGTTTCAAAAAAAACATTTAGGGAGATAGCTCAATAGAATAAATGCCTGCCTGGCAAGTGCAAGGTTCTGAGTTCACTCCCTGGTACCGCAAAAAGAAAAAAGAAAAAAAAGAAGAAGTTTCAAGAAGGAATGAAATACTAAGACAGGGTACAACTTGGGTGGCCCATGAAGTCATTGTGTTGCTTTTTTTGTGGAACCAGGGATTGAACTCATTCCCATTGTGCTTGCCAGGGAAGTGCTTATTCCACTGATCCGTCTCTCCTGCCCCACAAATTGCAGCACAATACATACCATATAGTTTTTGTTTTACGGAACCAGGGATTGAGTTTAGGCCCTTGCGCTTGCCAGGCAACATTATGTTGCTGGGGGTGGTGGCACACACCTAAAATCCCAGCACTCAGGAGGCTAAGCCAGGCAGATTTGCCTTGAATTCGAGATCAGTCTGCACTATATAGCAAGACCCTGTCTCAAAAAAAGAAAAGAAAAAGCCTTATGTTAAATGAAAAAAGCAGACATAAAATGAAGTTCACATTTTGTGTGACTTCTTGTAGTAGAAAATGTCCCCTAGTTAGTCTGTTGCCCAGGTGATAGTTTCTGCTACAGTTTCTATTACTACTATTTTCTGGTCACTATGATGTGTACTATAAGAACCAATCCCTCCCTGGCAAGCACAAGGGCCTGAGTTCAATCCCTGGTTCCGCCAAAAAAGAAGAAGAAGAAGAAGAAAGAAGAAGAAAGAAGAAGAAA